TGTGCATGATTATAACGAAATTTTTCTAAGCTTATTAATTGATAAATATATAGAAAAATGCTTGTGGTCTTTTGATGCACAACTATTGACCGAAAAAATGTATAACCAACCAGATCACAGTTACAATTGAGCACAATTTTTGATTGATCGGGTTGGTTATATATCTATAATAGCTTATGTTTATTATATTTATTATAAAATTAAAATCGATCAGGGAAAAACCAATTTTTGTAGATCTGATTAACCGGCTTATGTTTCCATTAACATGATCTGATCTATAGAGTTTCAAAAATAGGATTTTAGAGATTTTGGCTTATATTAGGCGAGGCTTATTTCAAATTTGAAATATAGCTTCGCCCGAAACTCACTTTATGATTATCGAAATACGCCACTTTTCGTAGAAAAATTTAAAAAGAGGTAAACTTTTCACAATGATCTACGCCTGAGCCGGATCATGTTGTGGCTAATTATTTTTCAGCTAACTACACCATTATGCAAACGTTTATAAATTGACATAAATGAGCAAATAATTTTTTAATTAATTTGTAAAGTTTAAATTCAAGTAAATAAAATACTCTTAAAAATGTCATATAAATGCCCTTTTTGTCAAAGGTACTTCAGCACAAGATCTGCATACAATCAACATAAGAATTTTTGTACTCCGCCTAATAACGATAGTAGCGATAGTGAAGAATTAGAAGAATTTGAACATAAAACTAATAATCATGATATAGAGGTAAAGAAAATAGGAAATTATAAAATTTTTTGAATTTCTTTTTTAACATAATTAATTTTATAGATGGTCCGTGAAGATTTATGTGAAGATCTTTCTGATAATAAAAGTACAGACTCGGAAATAAATAATCAGAGTTTTCAAAGTATGATGTCAATTTCAGAGGTTGGTGAAATTGATCAAAATATAGAAGAAATAAACCACGATGAAAATGAAAATATCTTTGAAAATATCTTGGAAGATTCTGATTCAGAATTGAATGAAGAAGAATCCAAACCAGAAATTAATGTTAATTACCCAAGTGAAGCATATGGTGATTTAATGGAATTAGTTACGAAACATAAACTTAACAATGCGACAGGAAATGCTATAATTAAATTCTTTAATAAACATGCAAATTTAGATAAATCACCTCTTCCAAGATCTATCGAACAAGGCCGCAAATATATGGATAATATGAAACTACCAAATTTAAATTATAATAAAACTAGTATAATGAATTATAATAATAATGAGTATTTTCTTTATCATCAGTCTTTAATAAACTGTATAAAAAATATTTTGTCAATTTCGGACATATCACAAAATTTTGCATTAACTTTTGAGAAAGTTGAGGTAATTATTTTATACTTTAGTATGAAATATACAACTTAATATTATAGGATATTTACTAATCTTCATATAAACTTAAAGCATAACGGTGAAATAGAGTTTAGCGAACAAAATACTGGGATATGGTGTGAAAATGCGGAAAAATCCCTGCCACCTGGTGCCAGGCTTTTATCTTTAATATTATATTCTGATGCTACAAATGTTGACACACTAGGAAAAAGTCAACTCCATCCCATTTACTTGTCTATTGGTAATATTAAAAATTGGAGGCGTAATAAGAAAGATGCAAAGCAATTATTAGCGTATCTGCCGATCTTAAAATCTAATAATATTACTGAAAGGAAGTCTGAAACATTTAAGATTGCTGTTCGCGAATGCTTCCATAAATCTTTGGAATTGTTACTAGACCCTTTATTAAAATTAAATAAAAATGGCATTGATCTATTTTTAAATAACGAAATGATTTGGTTTTATCCTAGAGTTTCAGCTATAATATCTGACTGGCCGGAAGCTGCAACGTACTGTATTACATACAAATCACCAATGTCGAAACATCCTTGTCATTTTTGTCTAGTCACAAGAGACAATCTTGCTGATCTTAATTTACAAATTGATGATATAACACCACGAACTCATGTTAATATGCAGCAGTATTTTAATCAAAACTTGAAAATTCCATTTGCATTGAAAATATATCTAATTTTTTTTGGAATCTGCCGTAAGTTTACATAATATTTGTTAGGCATCCAGC